GTCCTTATCATGAATCAGTAATAGTAATAAGCATAGGAATTCTTTTGTGGCAGTATGTAAATTGTGTTGTGTCAAATAGGATCAATTATATTCTTTACCCTTACAAGAGATGCTATAAAAAAATATTGGCTAATTTAAAGTTTGAATAGTTTTGAAGACCGGCTAGGCAGGGAAGATGCTAGCTCTCTCTCTAGAGTTCCCTCGATTTCCTCCACCTGGGGACTAACATCTCATATCAGAACCTAAAATAATAAACCAAGTTGGGGGCTTTAACCTGTAACTTTAGAGTCCTCTAACTCTACACCCTTCAATGATTATTTCTCTAGTTATTTGCACTAAATCATATGAATTACATTCTCACTCATATAACCTCATGTGATTTTTTCCAATTGTTGACTGAGACAATATCAGCCTGGTTCTTACATGTTCTCACAACAAATTTTAACATTTGGATAGTCATGGATTTAAATCATCACAACTTCTTCCAACATTAAAGATCACTACTCTCCACAACTTCCATCGAATATTTTTAATTACTTATCATTTTAAGGAGAAATATAAAGAAAACTACTCAGAATCCATGTAGAAAATGAAACCACACTTTAGTTTAAAAGTAGAAATCATTGTCAAACCAACAAGAAATCTCAATTAAATCCAAAAGTAGTTCAAAACAGAAGATAAAAACTTATCTCATATCCTCCACCAAACTCTTAAAGTTCCTTTGAATCTCTTCTCTTTTACAATACTCTCAAAAATAAATTAAAAACAAAAAGAAAAAAAGTAAATTTGTGTGGTGCTTGAATCTCTTCACAAGATTCTCCACGATCTTCTTAAGACTCAGGACTCTCTCCCTCTTCAAGCACCCCCTTCAAGTGTCTCAACTTCCTTCTTTCATAAATTTCCCAAGAGGTGCCTTGGAAACTCTTCAAAATGTGTCCAAATTCCATGTATTCTCCAAGGGATGCCTCTTTTCTCATTTCTTTTAATAATATATTCATTTCTAGTGGTCATAACCACCTTCTTTAGCCAATAG